ATTAAACTTTCTTCTTTACAAACAAGAATTTGAGCTTTTAATACAAAGCATCTTAAATTAAAATCAATTACTGCTTTTGCTGTGTAACAATCCTAGTAGACTGTTACTAATTTTGAACTGTGAGAAAAAGTTCTGCGGCACATTAGTCACCTTTTTATTAACACTACTGGGCACATTTCACTGTTTGTAAATACTATTATCCTCCCGATAATTGCAAATTTTTCACAAGAAAGTGAAGTCTAAGAAATCTTGTCTTCTGTGGTAATATTAAACATATCAATATGTGCTGCCTCTTAGCTATCTATATTTAAAATAAGGATTTCATGGGGTTGGTGAGATAGTTCTGTGCTAGACAGTGTGCTGAGCATCATGTTCCCCTGGGTTAAATACCCGGTGGTGGGGGTGAGGGGTAGGCAAAGAAACAAACAAAAAAAACCCCTAAACACTGATCCATTTGCTTCAGCTTGTCCAGACTGAGTAGAAAGGAACGTATATTTCTTTCACAAAAGCATTAACAAAGCTGACCTGTGACAACAGACTTTTCTAGCAAGGATTATAGTTTTAGTTCACTGGTATTTGTATATACTTAAATCAAGAAAAAAACCTGGCTCTGTACACTATAATATTGGATAATTTTGGTAAACAGAAAAATGAGAAACAACAATAAAAACCCAATAAATCCGAAGTAGATTTATATAATAGCCTTTTTCTTTTGATGGTATTCTATGTTCAGAGAAGTTTTGTATGACTTCATGTTTTCCTTATCATAAAAATGTTTCATTTAACTATCTGGGCCCACACACAGTCTGGAAATTTGATTTAATTGTACTTTCTTATGATAAAGGCAATAAATCCACAAAGCAAAAATGCAGCTCTATACACTCTGATATTGACTTCTGTGCTTTTATGAACGAAAAATTTTGTTTGAGAAATGTTTTAAAGAACTTATAATGTAAAATAATTAGTTATTAGTAGTTTCTAATTCTTATGAAAAAATAATTACACAGCAGTCAGGTGCCAATGATCATGGCTAAGCCAGTTTTCAGTACATCAATTTTATTTGAAGAAACCTGGCTAGTTTAATTTCTTGAGTTTTTAAACATACTAGTTCTTAAACTAAAAATGATAAAAATCTGTTTGACTAACCCCAACAATCAGTATTCATAAACTGTTACTGTGATCATGTATGCAAAATACAGTTGTAAAAAGGTTTAGTGTTTTGCCCAGGTACAGCAGAATGTTTTAAAACAAATGGTCGTAAGGGCAAATGTAGGTTAGCCCTTTGCTATAACAGAATAATGCACTTGTCCTTAGATGACATAAAACAGAAAACCTGATCTTGAGTGATGGACTTGGGTTCAAATTTTGACCTTATCACGTAGTAACTGGGTAGGGTTTGAATAAGCTACTTAACTTCCCTGAATCTCATTTCCCTTGTGTATAAAGATGAGGCTGGTCACATCCAAATGACAAGAATAGTTGTGAGACTTAAATGAGAACCTAGTTCCCAGCACAGTTCCTGTGAGTAGCACTCCCTACAATCATGTTAGTTTCTGTGTCTTCTTTCCCAGATTCCATTCAGAGAAGCTATATGTTCAAAACGTGCTTTACAGCTTGAGGTTTTTTGTTTTTGTTTTGTTTTTTTGGTACCAGGAATCAAACTCAGGACCTTGCGCTTCCCGGCAGGTACTGTGCCACTGAACTATATCCCTGAACCCTGTTTTTGTCTTCTGAAACAGGGTTTTGCCACACAGTCCAGGCCATCCTTGAACTCATTGTAGGTCAGCCTGGTCTTGAACTCATGGCAGTTGGTTTGCCTCAGCCTTTCAAGTGCTGGGATCACAGGCGTGTGCCATCAGCCTTGCTCTACTTTGAGTTTTAAAATTTAGATTTCTATTATATCTCTCATAAGATTAAAATAACCCTCTGATATAATCAAGAAGACCATCATGTCTATACTTGCTACAGATTGTATACCATGTCTTTAATTTAAGGCCCAAACAAATGGGAGACCGCCTTGGATCAGAGAGAGGATCAATCTTCAGTCTTCAAAATGAAGAAAACATGACTGTCTTTTCCTCTCAGTTTTTCTCTCTGACTTCTAAGAAAGACTTTCTACCTTTCTGGATAAAGGGTATTATTCATGTTAATGAGATAACTGAATGTAGGCTGACTTCTTAAATAGAAGCCTCAGAAATTCACTACTTCTTGCTATGTTTTTCTTTTAAGGTACTGGGGATTGAACTCAGGACCTTGTGTTTGCCAGGCAGGCGCTTTGTCACTGAGCTATATCCCCAGTTCCCATTTGCTATTTTTTTAAACTTCAAAAAGGGACAATATTTAAAATAATTTCTCAATCACAAACACATCTTAACATCATATATCATGATACACAATATAGTTACATAATAAAAGGTTACATATGACAAAGAACATTGATCTTTTTTCAAATAAATTTTTTTTTTTTTTTTTTAACATTTTGGTTTTTTGGGGCTGGGGATTTAGCTCAGCGGCATAAGTGCCTGCCTTGCAAACAGGCAGTCATGAGTTCGATCCCTGGTACCGATAAAAAGGAAAAAGACAAAAGAACAAAAACAAAACAAAACAAAACATTTTGGCTTTTTTTCCTCCTACACACAAATACCCCAATCTGTTCTATTTCCAACAAGACCATGCTGGCTACATAACTTTTGTAATAAATACAAAAAGCCTCTTTCTCTTTGACTGATCTGTCTGTTCCTAAAATCATTTTAGTTTTACTAAAAATCATACACATTTTTAAATGTATGGAACTAACTTGAAAACTTAAAAATAAAAACCAGAAAAGGAAAGATATTTGTTTATGATCAGCACTGCTTAGGGTTTGCCACGTCCTCATGATATTTGTATGAGATGTTCAAAATGGAATTAATGTGTACTTATTAGCATTTCAAAAATATTGATCTATTCTATTATTTTAGTTCAAATTTAACCTGTTGAACACAAGAATTATGTAACACAAGTGAAGAAGTACGTTTCCTTTAAGAATCTAACAAAATTGCTAGTTTTTATTACAAAGCAAATATTTCTTATATAGTAAGATGATGTGTCTACATACTCTTTATACGAAATAATTACACAATGCAATTGTCTTACTGAAGGTGTTATGGGCTAATAATTTCTAAAACTAGAGGAGGATAAAAACAAAATACATGTAAAGCTAGGGTCTTATGATTCAGAAAGGCCAATACAATATGCATTTTCCAAGAACATATAAGTCACCTTTGACCTGTATCAGACACAAGCTATCAATTTTCAGTCTACAGTTCTCTACCACATCAGCTAAGCCATCTAACATTAGCCTGTTTATACTTAGTACTATACTGTCAAAGCTGTCTCCTCACTATTGCTTAGTGTAGAACAGAGAGATACTATAACAGAGAGATCTGTGTTCTTAAAATAAAATCTAAACTCAATTTGAGTGATAGTTTCTCTGCTTCAGGGGTTCTGCATAATTAATGTAACTGAACTCACGCGTGCACATACACATCCCACATTCAAACAGCCTGTTTTCCTTAGAATCAGACACAAAAGAAAAATATTTCACATGGGAAAGGCAGCTGGGTAGGAAATTATTAGAGATTAAAATTTCACTTACATTATCCATGTAATCTACCTTTTACTTTCTCTAAAGGTCTGCTTTCTATGGGCAGTTGGAAGACATACTTTCAATGAGTTTACAGATATTTTGCTTGACATTATGTGCTAAGAAAGCTTCCCCAGAAGTTCACCACTATACGAATGGATGAATCCAAAGAGGCCTTACACTAAGCAAGTCAGCAGATTAAAAAAAGCACTTTTCTCAATTCTCTGTCTCTGGTCAGGGCTATAGGCTACTTTAAAACATATTAGAAAAAGGGAAAGGACATACATATCTGATTTTATGCTACATTGGGAAAATGTAGTCATGATTTTTGTCACTTCAAACATTAACATCAATGCCTCCTCTTCTCCCAAAATCACTGAAATGGCATGTGTAATAGCCTAAGACATCTGAGAGAAATTACTTTTGGGACGATTAAAAAAAAAAAAACCCTGAGTTTCTGATACACAACTGAGGTTATTATTAGTATAACATTTTAATGATGTTTATCAATACTTGACAAAGATTGGTTCAACTGAATCTCTCAAAAAAGTTCATTCTTTCTAAAATTATCCGAGTCTTTGGGGGCTTTAAAGATAATTTCTGCATAAATTATGTTATTTAATAAATAATGTATTTTTATAATTTAGTGTATTAATCAATACTTGATACATTTATATAATTTAAATAATATTAAGTATTTAAAAGAAAAATCTTAATGATATACAAAAGTATTAAACACCTAACCATATGCTATACATGGACCAGGAAAATATTCTTTGGAATATGTATAAATGCATTCTTTTAAAGATAGTGATTTATTTTATGAATCTGCACAGGGTCAAAATTTTAGTATGATTGGAAACAGATGGTATTCCAGAAAAGTCAGGCTATGGACCTGAAACTCCAAACAGGAAATACGGCCCTCACTAGTGAACTGCTTCTCTAATCATTACCAGAGCTTTGTACTTGTTATTTTTATGAATATCCAACGTGACTTTCATCTTTTATTCTATTTGCGAAGCACCAATAATAATGTGAGCATGTGTATTATCTTAAATATAATTAACATGTTTACAATATATGAAATAATATATTAACATATGTACTTTCAAGCTCATTGCTAGTAAAGATATCAGGCTAAAAATAACTCACCAATTTAAGTTTACTTTTGAAACTATTTCAAAAATAAAATAAAACCAACAACTACTGAGTAACTGTCGAAGACATGTCCTTACTAACACTAGTTATATAGTCTCATTTACTGCAGAAAAGAATAAAATGAAACCTTATAGGTTTTACTAAAAAGCAATTAAACTGCACTGATTTCTATTAAACAAGTCACTTAAAAGTCACATGAACAAAGAAAAAGGCTTACCGTTTTCCCATTGTAGTAATACATCAGGGAACTGCTGCCCATTCCTGGGACAGGATAAGCACAATACATGTTGATTCTGAGAATGTTCCTGTTTGCAGCTAATGTACACAGTTTTTCTCCAAGACATACATCCACTCAGGCAAACAGAAAGTCTTCAGTACTATGCACCCACACATGGTTCCACTCAAAAGGAACTTATGCAAAACAGGACCGAACCAACTCACAGGGCACACAGGGAGGGCTTATGCTGGAAGCTACCCTTTCAGTTTCCATCAAGTCCCTGCACTGGAGGAAGGGTACCAATTAGACAAACTTTATGGTATTAAAAGAAATTCATTTACAAATTCTAAATGAACAGATACAATGTTCCAAAGATAACATTCTAAGGTATTACTAATTTTGCCACACACACATACACACACGCAGGCACGTACACAGGCATTCACAAAGGAAGGCAAGCTGACAGGTCTTCTGTTAATCTGTTTTTAGTTTTAATTAGAGTACTTGTGGCAGGGAGACCTTGCCCGCTATACCTCCAGCAACATTACCATCTGGCATCCCCTGAAGTTGCTTCCAACTTTGATAAACACATGATCAAGCAATCAGGAACTGGAAATACTGAATCACATATATTAAAACGGATCTATACAGTTAAACCTTGTCTAAAATCACTTCCTGGAGAAGGCAGACCATCTTTAGCTAGAACAAACTACACTTAATTTTAAGTTATAAAAATTGTATTAAGAATTGAAAGGAATATATTGTATTAAAAAGTTTACTCTAAAGATAGGGAAAATAATTTTAAGTCAATTAACTTTTTAAAATACAAACATCAATAGTATAGCTTTTCAGTTATAAAGTTCCTTGAATTTCTTGTTCATGACATCAATAAAAACCTTGTAATGAAATGTAGGTTTATAGAACATCTAATAAGTAATAAACAGTTGGCAATTTAAGTAGAAAAAAATTAAAGTTTTTTTTTTTTGTGAAAGGTTGGTGCTATGCATTGACAAAAATGTATATAGCAACTAACAAACTAAGACTTCCTCAAAGTCTTTCCTCTAAGTTCACTATTATTCTTAAAGAATACTTTATTCATTTTTTATGTTGATACTCAAATTTCTCAGAAAGGAAAAAATAATCAGGGTGGGAATAAATGTCTTGGTTTTTTCTAATGTACTGCAGTAATACTTTGAGTCAAAGGGTTTTAAATGTTGTCTTCAAATACATGTATTTTTCTTATAAAAAATTCTGCTATTTAGTTTTCCAATTTATCTCTACCTCAGAAACACAGAATAGCCAAATTTCTTTCTTTTCATTCCAGTTCAGCAAAACCTCCTTTGTGCTAGTTTCTTAGGTGCCTCCTAGGTTCCAATAGGACCGAGCTCATCAGAGAAAAACCTGTGAACTGCAGAAAGGGAGTTTTTCACTTCAGTCTCAAGGCGACTTTCTCAATGCAAACTCCTTTATGAGATGTTCTGGAATATTCCAAAAGGGACCCAAAAGACCTCATTCTTGTGAAACATATTGATCAAATCAGAGTAATAAAACTGGATCAGACCATAAGGCCATCTCATTTCACAATGTTTTAAAAGCTGATGGTATCGGAACAACAACAAAACCTCCCCACACTCTCCAGATAAAGAAAAGGCTAAGCAGCAGCTGCAAAAGAACATCACTGTACAGCAGACTATTAAAATGCCAGTCTGCAGAGTGGTGTGTAACTTCCTCCCTCCTGAGAGACCACAAAGACCCATTTCAATCCTTGGAGAACTGTGTAAAAAGCTCTGATTTACAATTAACAATGCTATGCCTTAAAACCATTCAAGTAAATTTTAGTCTTTCGCAGTCTTTTTCTATTAACAGAACAGTTACTTTGGAAAAAAAAAAAGAAAATCAATATTTAAAATAAAAGTTACTTTTTTATATTAAAAATGAACTCAATTTTCAACAGAAATTAAGGAGGAATAAGGAGATGAGGGAGCCACAATGTATTAACAATATGTACTTCATTTTTTTTCCTACAATCACTGCTCCAGCCTCAGAAGAATTTTATATTGATTTAAAAAATCTATCTCAAGTAATTTAAGTTTATTCTTCTGGTGCGTGACAGAAAAGAGAGAATACTAGTTGTCTAATGAAACAAGCAGCAGCATGTAATTCCAACTATGGAAATGTGGCTACTAGAGCACAATGGCAACTTCCTTAGCAGCCCTTTATTTTAGAGGTATGCTGCTAAGAGTCTAATGGGAATCAACAAAACATTCAGCAAAAAGCAATTCAGAATACAGACAAGTATTAACATCAAACTTCTTTTACTTGTTTTTAAGACAGTTTGTCAAGCAACAGTGTAAAATTTGTTCTTAGCCTGCGATCTGAACGTGAAACACAATGGCTTCTAAATAGTACTTGAGTAACTATTTAGAAGTTTTACTTTTACTTTTCATTCCTTTTCTCAAAAGCAGACACAAACCCCACAAGTGTGAAACCTTTCTCCCCTCACATAGCTACCACAGTCATTTGGTATACACTATTCCCTAAACTGAGATTAGATGGAAAAACTTAAAAAAAAAAAAAAAAAACAAAAAAAAAACTGTATGTGTTCCTGTATCTATGCAATACTAGACTTAGCCCTCAAAAACAGTAGATCATTAAGCAAACTGGTGGTAACAAATAAAATGTTCATATAATCTACTTGTTTATTATAGTATGGCCTTTTGTCACTGAAAAAGAGCATCTCCTTGAAGTTCACCTTACCCAAAAGACACAAAACTGGTTAATGTAGTTCATTTGTTTTAACCACAATTATAAATTATCTTCCATGATAAGTTTTTCTCTCATCCTTAGAATCTTTTGTAAAGAACTATGCAACAGCTGCAGTACAATTTTCTTCCTACCGAGAATCGAATTACAGGAAAAACCGCATATAGATGGATCAAATGCTGTTCCTCAATGCAGTTGTTTAATCTCTGCCTTTTTTTTTCTCCCTTAAAGGAACATGTCAAGGGTTAATCCTGTGACTCGGTCTGACAAAATGAGTCAGCTGGAGGCAGGGCCAATCCCAGACAGGCGTGCAGTCTGCACAGGGCTGAACTGTCATGTGCTTTTCATTTTGAGTTTTTCCATCCACAATTCTGCATAGCCATACTGTGTCAGTCTGCAATTATATAATCTCATTCAATATTCACACCACTTAGCCCAATAACCTAAATAAACCACCAAGTCTTATAGCGAGACGGGCATTATGGTATACAGGCAACGTGATTAATGAAACACTTTTAAAAAATACAACTTGTAGCCCTACATTTTTTATAGCTAACTGATGACTCCTGGTTTGAGGATTGCTGCATTTTGCTGAATTTGCAAATATGTTTTCCCCTCAAATGTTTCAGGATGTGACATTTATTTCTGTTCATCAAGCAGAGACCTAAATTAGACAAGAACAAGCTACACTATGCAATTTATAACTCTTTTCTGAAGAGTTCAAAGAACAAAAAGGTGTTTTAAGACGTGTACTAGGGTGAAGGCTTTTGTGAAACTGCAGCGTAAATTCTACACTTCTTTACAAAAGTGCCTTCTTCCTTATTTTTCTGTTTACTGGGAAATAGACTTTTCTTGTAAGGTTAGGCAAAACTCTCTTGGAATAACCCAGGCAGGCAGTATTTTGATCTAGTTCATTAGCTCATCTTTATCTCTAATGTTTGGAACATTGTAACAGTCACTTTAAAAAAATCATGCTTAAGCAGGTAAAAAAAAAATCTGAACAGTTTTCCAATTAAAATTTTAACTCAACTGAATTATCTATCTTTAACTTTAAGTTCAGTTTCACTGCACATTCTTCTAAAACAAGTCAACACTCCAATGTGCTCAAAAAGTTAAATTTAAAATTAATTTATAGGATTCTTCATGAAAACTTTCAACATTATTTCTAAGTGAATCAGACTTCTTAGAAAACAGACTTTCAGGGTAATAAAAGAAATCAAATTTAAAAGTTCACATATGATTAATCCCACAGATGAACTCTACATTTCCCAAAAGGATAAAATTCAGTAAATAATAAATTACTGGTTATAAAGGAGGTAAGGGAGAAGTTAGATTTAAGAGTACAATAAACGAGAGAATGTATAAGTAGACAAATTCAAAACAGAAAGAGACCCCCTTCTTCCCTGATGTCTTCTCTTTCTAACTAAGCTTGGACAGAAATGATGTGTGAGTGATAATGTCTGCTAAAGGCATAGAATTTTAGTTAGCACTGCCAACTAAATCAGACACCCTCACCTCAGGCTTTATATTTAAACATTATGTTGCAGATTTTTCTAGTACATGCTCCAATGCAAGACAGGTCATTCAAAGGAACTGTTCTCTTTCTAATAGCCTCATATTTTAGCAAATTTACTTTTGTAACAAAATAAGCATATGAAAACTCCAGAGAAATAGTACACTAACATTAAATACATATTAAAGATATTCGTGCTATATAGACCTGAAATTATACAGTGCTTCTTATTCAATAGACACGTTATTGCTCAATACATTAATAAAATAAAAGGATTCCAATTACTATTTTTCTAATGTATGAAAAATCTTATATACCAAAGACCTGACCTTGTGAATTTTACTTAGGTGACATTCTAGGGCAAAAACTGTTTCAAATAAAGCCTTAATTATAAAAACCTAAATATTCCCCAGCATCAGACTCCCTAGTTTGAGGCTGGAGGCAGCGGTACATGCCTGCAGTCCTAGCTGTTTGGGAGGGCTGAGACAGGAGGATCCCATTTTCAAGGTTAGCCTGGGATACTCAGTGAAACCCTGCCTCAAAATAAAAAATACAAAGTGCTGAGACTACGCGTCAGCAGTAAAGCAACCCCTGAGTTCAATATTCAGTATCAAAAAACTAAATAAATAAAAAGGACTGGGGATGTAGCTCAGCGGTACAGTGTTTGCCTAACATTTGTAAGATACTGAGTCAATTTTCTGCCAAGAAAAAAAAATTAGTTTGAGTATTGTTGATTATTTGGCTGCTGAGTAGGATAAAGGATGATTAACAAAGACGCGCACACACACACAAATACATTTCTTGGAGCTGGGGATATTGTTTGCTGGTAGCCTGCATGTTTGACATGTGTAAGCTTGCACATGTACCAGTATCATCAAGAGAACAAAATGAAATGGACTCCCCAAACCATATCTCAAGGCAGAGCAAAGACACATGATAAAATTTACACATTAGCAGTTGTCTCAGACACAGAACAGCAGCACATTTCTTACTGTTTCTTTAGAAATATCTCAAGTCTAATGTGATTTTTAGAAATGTTTAATAATTAACAAAAAATACTTACCTGTATAGCCAATTGAAATAATTAGTAAATAAGCTTACTTTTTTAGAGGAAAAGTTTATTTAATTCCCATTTTAACAGCTGTATGACTATACAGAGGATTTATAAAAAGTCATATCCTATGATGGTGAAATCAAGTAGTAATCTTTAACAGCATTACTAGCAGAGCTAGGGCTAAAAGAGCCTATTAAATACCCCTCCTAATGAGAACTATGGAAAATTCAGACTATGTAACATTTAAAGCAAACTATGTGATTTTTTAAAAATCAGAAATCCACTATGACAAATAAGTTCTCTTTGAAAATTTAGAGGGAGGCCCTCTACCCATTTCTTTCCCCATGTGAAAGATACTGTCACTTCTCATTTACCCCTTGAAAGAACAGTTAAGAGAATCATTAATTATGTTGCAACTCAATAATATTCCTGCAGATGGCTCTACAGTCACAAGATGGATGACTTATTCCCACCCTCTCTCTCCCTCTTCCTCAGTCTGTGTGAGTAAAGTAAAAACACCAAAGAGTCCATGTTTTTAAACTCCTCAGAACACCAATACTTTGAAGAGCTTTCAAGAATAGGACAAGGTTTTGAACTTGTTAGGCAATATGACAACAAAAACCACAAAGAAACAGCTATTATTCTAAATTGCCTGTAAAGGATAACAAGTTTTGTGAATATGGTTCTGGGCTGAGTTATTGCTCTCTGCAAGAGCATCACCCACATTTGTTTCTTCTTTGAACCTGTGCAACAGTTTTCTTTGGAGCTAGGAAGTTTCAATTTACAAGAAATGGAACAGCATCAAGATATTCAATTTTATTTTAAATGTATTTTTAGAGTCCAGAAGTAACCTCTTCATCCCAGCTCAGTATCATTTCCAGTATATGCAATCCAATGCTCTAAATAACTTAAACATTGAGTTATTTCTGGTCATGATTTATATTTTTGTTTCAGTAAAAATTCTTGCTGGTGGTAAGTACTTTTTAATATTTCCTATCTTTGAATAATTAAAAACTGAGAATCTCCCAAAACATTTTCATCACATTTATAATGATCAACTAATAATGCAAAGCTGATTACTATTATTATTATTGTTACACGATGTGATACAAAATAGCACTGGACCAGGAGTCGGGAGACAGGGGGCCCAGGTTTCAGTGTGGCTTCCCAGGAGACACGGGGGCCCAGAATAGGTCACTAAATCATTTCTGCAAAGTGCAAGCATGATGTTATGCTGAAGATCTTCTAGTCATTTCACCTCTATTAAGGCTTTTCATCACCTTTCCGCCCAAGCCTTGAATTCCTGTTTTGAAAGATTTTTGTCTTCCAAGTGCTTTTTCATTGAGTTATACTGAATATTTTTCTTTGTTAGAAAGAAAAACTCAAAGTCACTTAACTGCCATTTAGACTTCTAATTAAAAAGGAAATGAAGCATTGCCATGCTGAGATGAAATAATTCCAATGAATGAAATGTGACATCTTATTTTAGCATGCAACACAACTGTCAGGTTTTTAAAATCTAGTCATATTACTATTCTGAAGAGCCAGAGGAGTGATCCACGGACTTAGATGAGAGCCAGTGTTCACATCAACCTTAAACTGTACTCTTACAGCCCTAATCATCACAAATGGCAAAATTAAAAAACTAAAGCCTCATATGAAATGAAAGCTAAATCCCCAGCCCTAGAATTGCCCTAACAATTTCTACCCTTTAAGCCTCCAAATGCTTTGTCTTCTAATAATTATGCCAACAAATGAGGTATCTGTACAATAGGTTACACATTTCTGCTGCCTAGTAATATCTTCACTTAGAACTATTATCTTTTCTAAAGTCCAGGTAGTATCTAGAACAGAATGGTTATTGTTTTAAAGGGTTGATAACTTCCTAATTATCTAAATCACTGAACAATTCTGGTGTCTAGATAATGTGCAATTTGATATGCAGATTAGACATTTTATGTTTAATGTAACACCATGGAGAAAATGAAAGATTTGCAGTCAGCTCGGTCAAACAAAGATGGAACTCTCTACAAACATAATTTTAGTAACAAAGTACTATGGGAATCATCTAAATAAGAGAGCTGTGCCTTCTGCACTACCCTTTAATAAAGAGGCTATCTCTATACCTTTTGCCTGGAGAATTTAGTAGAGAGGAAAGAGACTGTGATGTGGATTATAAGCAAAGACACT